TTATGACCTACTGTCTGACTACCAATAAAGTTTTATTAGAACAGCCAAGTGCATTCATTTATTGTGGCTGCTTTCCCACTACAGGGGCAAAGCTAAGTAGCTGCAATAGAGACCATATGGTCCATGAAGTCTAACATATTTTCTAGCTGGCCACTTATAGAGATGGCTGCCAACCCTGAACTAAGCCATCTGACCTGAACCCACTCCACTTTACAAATGAAGACACTGAGAGCCAAAACAGTATGGGCCAGAGCCAGAGTCCCATAGTGAGTTCCTGGCACTCAGGACTGGAATTCAGTTCTTCAGAATCACCAAACACACCCCCTTTTAGCCCCTGGTCATCACCCTTGTCACCAGCTCTATCAGTTCTTTATCTCCCTGGATCTGGGCTCTAACAGTCTTCCTGAGCTGATTTGCTGGCTTGACCCTACAGAAGCCCACCTAGAGTTTATCTTCCCTTCCAGACAGAGCCTCTACTCCCAACACACATACCTCTCCTAAAGCCACAATGAAGGTTTAGATGGCCACTGCCCCATTGGATTAGACCACCTCCCTCCTGTGTTTATCCCAGGTCATTCGTTCATAAACCTGGCATGATTCAGAACTGCCAGGTGTCCTAGTTTGTTTCTCCATTGCTGTGACAAAATACTGTGACCAATACCAACTTGGGGAAGAAAGGGTTTATCTTACATCTCCCAGGTCACAGTTCATCAGGGAGCCCAAGGTAGGAACTCAGGCCAGGAACCTAGAGGCAGGAGCTGGAGTACAGGCCATGGAGGAATGCTGTTTACTGACATGCTTCCCTTGCCCCTGCTCAGCCTGCTTCCTTATGTAACACAGGCCCACCTGCCCAGGGGTGGACCACCCGCAGTAGGCTGGGCCCTCCCACATCGCACAACAATCAAGAAGATGCCCCACAGACACAGGCCAGTTCAATGGTGGCAAATCCCCAATTGAGGCTCCCTCAACCCAGGTGTGTCAAGTTGGCACTAAAGCTATCCAGCACACTAAGGTAACTGGCTTAGAATGCAGATGCCCAGAGCCCACACCTACCCTGTTGATCTAGAGCTCAAGAGCCTTGGAAGACCGCACTAATTCCTCCATGGGTTCCCCTGGGTTTTAATCAACCACTTCAGAATAGAATAAGGGGCCAGTAGAACACGATCCTCTTAAAAAATATGTGAGGGCTAAAGTGATGGCTGGGGTAAAGCACTTGCCTTACAAGCATGAGGACCTGAATTTAATGCCCCACATGCATCTAAAAATGTCTGGACATGGGGCTGGAGAGATGGCTCAGCGGATAAGAACACTGACTGTTCTTGCAGAAGACCCAGGTTCAAATCCCAGCACCCATATGGCAGCTAACAACTGTCCGTAATTCCAGTTCCAGGGATCCAACAGTCACTTCTGCATGACAAGGGTGCACTTAGCTGCATGCAGGCAATCCACGCATACACATAAAAAAAAATAAGCCGGGCATGGTGGCGCATGCCTTTAATCCCAGCACTTGGGAGGCAGAGGCAAGCAGATCTCTGTGAGTTCAAGGCCAGCCTGGTCTACATAGTGAGTTCCAGGACATCTGGGGCTACAGGGAGACCCTGTCTCAAAAAGACCAAAAATAAATTAAATAAATAAATAAATAATTTTTTTAAAAGCCTGGACATGGTGGTGCACACATGTAACCCCAGCACTAGAGAGGCAGACAGACAAATCCCTGGGGATCGCTAGCCAGCCAGTATAGCCAAATCAGTGAGTCTCAGTTTCCCAGAGATGATGTCTCAAAAAACAAGGTGGCTAGCCCCAGAGAAACAATACCTGAGGTTTGTCCTCTGGTCTTCACAGGCACCTGCACCCACATGATCACACATGATTACACATGCACATACCTGTACACAAAAATAATGCAATATTTTTCCTGAGCATTCACCACCCTGTCCTTTATTCAAGGCCCTAAAATTCTTTCCAGTCACAAATAATGTTATTTTGTCCCCTCTGAGGAGACAAAATAAGTTTTGTTGTTGTTTTGTTGGTTTTTTAATGAACTGCTGGCAAAGAATTGATGAGCTTATAAACTGTTGAGCTCAGAGTGATGGAAAGAAGGCAATGTTGAAAGGACAGAATAGATAGGAACATAGAAAATTCCGGAGGAGGCTGCACTGCTGGGCTTGAGGTCCCTTATTCTGGGGCCGGCGAACTCATTGGCAAGGGTGTGACTCACTCAGAAGGTGACGGGGCCTCTCTCTAATATTCAGCATGAAAACTGTGTGTCTCTACCTCTGGCATGAAACGTAGTTCTGTGATGCAGGCTCACTTCACCAGGGACTGGGCTTAGGGACCACTGAGCAAAGACAGGAGGGGGTGCCCCTCTGAGAAACAACCCAGGGAAGTTCTTTGGGCACTTGGGGCTGGTTTCCAATAGCAATGGAGACACTGTGACTGAAATAAATCCTGCTTCACTTGAGACAGCGGAATCCAATTCAATTTCAAGCTGGTGTGTTTATTGAGTGCCTGATTCAGTTTAGGTGATGGAGAGATGGGCAGAATGAGGGAGACAGCCTAGGAAGCAGGCTGATTCAGGCAGAAATTCCCTGAGCATCTGACCCACAGGTCCAGAAACTTGCTTTTATTAGTTTCACCCAGGAACAAATTGGTGAGTCTTAGTCTGTTTCATGAACACATAGTGCCTTCAGCTTGCTAGATGTGTTCCTAGGGCTGGGGTTGGAATACTGAACCAGACAGTCCCAGACCCCTGCCCTGGTAGAGTTTATAAGCTAAACTGAACCTGCAAAACCAGTGCAGTCCTCTGGGGTGGGGTCCACGTGGAAGTTGTCTCTGTGAGCATGATTATCAGAATTGTTTGGGGAAAGCAGGATTTGAACTAGGGTGAAGGTTAAATATGGTATGGGCTTTTAAAGGGATCCTGGAAGCCTTAGACACAATGGGACCAAACTGCACAACAGGAAATGGATAGTATGCCATCAAGGGTCCTTGACCAGATAAACTCCCCTGGGGTAACAGGTGCATGCCTCCTAGCAGAGTGCATGCTGCAAATCAGGATAAGAGAATGGGGAGATTACATGGGGCTACAGCACATAGACTATGTAGTCAGTAGCTTGTGTCTGACTCTCCATTCTGGTAACCTTGTGGTTAAGGGCAGGCTCCTTAACCTCAGTAAATATCAGTCTCCTGATGATAAAAACAGGCAGAGTCACAACCAGCTCAAACTTGGCCCTAAGTACTTGGACGATCTTCTGAACAGGGTTAACTGAGAGGAGTGTAAAAGCCTGGGTTGTTGCATATTTAACATCATATAAATAACCTGACTCTAGAAAGCTAGAATTTGCTTCCAGAACCCTATAGGAAGCTTGTAACATCTGTAGTCCATGAGGGATCTGTTGCCGTATGAGTCCTTTTTGAGCTCCCATAGTGTCCAGGCTGGGTTGAATGGTAGCCCAGTAGTAAGCAGGAAACAAGAAAGACAGCCAGAACGTAGCTGCAGATCCTGGCCTTCTTAATGCGGCACCCTAGGCACCCCTCTGCCCAGGGGAGTCCAGGCCCTGCTGAGGGGTAGAAACCTTGAAGATCTACATAGCACAATTCTCAAAGCATGGTCCTCTCTAAAATCAGAAGCATAGGAACCACTTATTCAAACTGTGTTCTTAAGAAGGTTAAATTACATTTATTTATTTGAAGGGAGACATGCCTTGGCCTGCTTGTAGAGATCAGAGGACAGCTTTTGGGAGTTGAGTCCTCCCTCCACTATGTGAGTCCCAGGGACTGAACTCAGAGCATTGGGCTTAGTGGCAAGCACCTTCTCCAGCTGAGCCATCTCTCTGGCTCCTCAAATTGTATTAAGCTCTATTATGCACTCAGCATCACTGGAGGCAGGCTAAGGAGTCTGCATCTTGACTTCATTCTACATCCACCAGGTGATGCCCAGGTCCTCCCACTGTTACTCAGAGCAGAAGTTCTTTGAGGTCCCTAGGCCAGCAGCATCAGTAGCAGGTACTGACTAAAAATGCAAATTCCCAGTTCCCTCTCCAAATCTACCCAATCAGAGTCCCAAGGATGGGCCAGCCTAGGGATCTGTATTTTAAACAAACCCTCTGGGGGAATTGTGGTGCACATTAAAGTCACATGGAGAGGTTTTTAAACCAAGGTCCTGCCCAATTCTATACCAACTAAATCAGAATTCTGGGGTGGGGCTCAAGTAGTTCCATAGTTCCATAAAGCAAGTGTGAGGTCAGTCCTTATAACACAGGAAAAAAAAAACAGGAGGCATGCCCAAATACACTTGGAATGCTATGGTCCCAGCTGAGGTGCTGCCCCAGCCAATGCCACAACAAACTAGATCCCCACGGTGCCCTGTTCACTCCTGGGGTACCAGGGGTGTGTTCAAGGTTCGGAAGTCCGACCTTGCAGCCGGTTCCTGGGCCCCAGACATCTTCCTCACAAAGGTTGACTGTGCACTTGACTCCCTTCCACTTTGGCAGGCTCCGTGCCTTCCTGCAGCCCGGTGCTGGGGCAGAGCTGGCTAGAAGGGTGTCAGCAAGCCTGGCAGAGATGAAGGGAGATGGAGAGGGTTCCTGAGGATTGGGCCTTGGGCTCCTCCAGAGCCTTGGGAGGAGCAACCGCGGGTGTTCATTGGCCTCCTGATGGCTCCAGACCTTGTGTTTGAAGTGACTCATCTCCCCACGCACATGATCGCGGAGAGGGACAGTACTAGCTGCACAGTAACACGGCGTCCTTTAGTGGCCACAGTGTTCCCTTTCACAGATGAGGAAACCGAGGCCCAGGGACTCCAAAGAGTCTGCTCCGGGGTCACCAGTGGTGTCAGGATGTCTCCAAAGACTCTCGCACTCGAGAATTCCCAGGCAGGGTCTCCAAGGAAACGGGATGGTCGGCGTGGGGGTGGGGGGTCCCCGCGAGAGGGGGTGGGGCTGAGCAGACCCTACTCCCCAGCGGTCCTAACGCGTCTCCGCCTTCCTCCCCCACCGCAGGCCCTTCCTCGTGCTGCCGCCCCTGATGGAGTGGATCCGGGTGGCCGTGGCGCACGCCGGCCACCGCCGCAGCTTTTCCATGGACAGCGACGACGTCCGCCAGGCTGCGCGGCTGCTGCTGCCCGGCGTGGACTGCGAGCCGCGCCAGCTCAAGTAGGTGGTGGGGGCGGGGCGGGCGCGGGGACCCTGGGGAAAGGGACTCTGGGGGCAGCCTAGGGGAGAACCTTCGGGGGCGGATCCTGGGGACGGGGACTCGGAGGGTGGGCGGGGCGCAGAGGGTCGCAGCTCCCAGGGTGTGCGCATGGATCCCCACCACCTCCTGTAGGCACCGTGCAGCGGTCGCTGCTTTAAAAGGCCGGCGGGAGCTGAACAATAGGCAGGTTCCTGGAGTTTTGGGAACCAAAGGGACAGCAATGTGGCCCTATGAAGAATGGGTCCCTGTGCATTACAGGATGCCAGATTTTTCCTTTCTTTCTGTCTTTGTTGGTGTCCCTTACATTTGCTTTCCCACCCCTCTGTCTTTCTCCCTCCTTCTCTAATCCCCGCCCCCTTTATGAAATCTGATCTTCCTGTACTTTTCTAACCAGTCTTTTCAGAATAAAATCCCTGGCTGGGCAAGACAGCGCCCCTCTCTGACTTTCCACAGGGAGGATGGTATCCTGCATGCTGAAACTTGAACCTTGGGCTACACCCCCCCGCCCCAGCAAAGTGGGAATTACTCATGGTCAGGATAGGGTCCTCATGCAGGGGGGCTTGTTTTCATTAGCCAAAATAAAAATAAATAGCCAGCTCATTCGGGTCAGTCCTGCCTGGCTCCAAAGACACAGAAACCGAATGGGGGTGTGTACAGGCACCCACTTTCCTGACTTCCCCAGCTGATACAGGGGGCCTTAATATTTTCAAATCTCTTCCCACTACCCAAAGAGGAACTGTCCTCCCTTGGAAGTTCCCAAAGTCCATCACTTCACCCCAGACCCCCCCCCCCCCCAGCAAAGTGGGAATTACTCATGGTCAGGATAGAGTCCTCATGCAGGGGGCCTTGTTTTCATTAGCCAAAATAAAAATAAATAGCCAGCTCATTCAGGTCAGTCCTGCCTGGCTCCAAAGACACGGAAACCGAATGGGGGTGTGTACAGGCG